ATGGTACAGTACAGAAAGTGCAAAGTATCACCCATCAGATCAGTTCTGCATCTGATGAGGTCAAACACGGCTCATGCTTCTCATGCAGGACACCCGGTCAAACTCCACATTGTTCTTCTTTAGTCGCTTGGATTTCTTCAGGATTGACGTGGCTGAAAAGGGAAAAAAAAAAAAAAAAAAAAAGGAAAAAGCACGTGGGGAAAGGGAGATGAAGAATCTCCAAACTCTGTAAGTTACTCCATGCTTTACCACAGGTTTGGTCACTAGTCCTTGTTCACTCTGAAAACTTGCAGAGCAGAGCAGCAGCGTTCCACGGTGCCAGTGCAGAGCAGCGTCCTCCTCCTGCACGAGGGTGATGGCACTCAGCTCATCCTGTCCCACTCATGACACTCACTCCACTCCATTCCCATTCATGGCACACACCTTGGCCCTGCTGCCAGGGCATCACACGAAAACATCTCAGGATTCAGGACTGGAAAGACTCCAGCTGGCCGGACACACATGGTCATGTATGGATTTCCAGCTCTTCTCCACAGCCCAGCAGTGAACAGACCCCACTGTATTCCCATCCCTTTTTTTTTATGCTAAGAGGTACAGAAAAAAAATTCCAGGATGGCCTTGTATTGCTTGACACACAGCTGCTGCAGTGTGGGCTTCCACGTGCCCACAGACAGCCTTGGAAACCCAGACCAACCCACTGTCTCAAGAGAGGACATTTCAGAGCCAGTTTCTGAGGTAAATCTACTGTTTCAAAAAGTCACTGAATTCTGTACACTTAGTTTTTAATATATACTTCTACACTGAGTGTGTTCTCCAGTGCCAGCACGTAGACCCGCCGTCTCCTCCTGCTGTGGGACTGCAAGCTCGGGAAGTGTTTGTGCATGGAAGGGGTGTGTGCACACCTATGTACAGACACACACGGACGAACAGCACCAGGCCCAGGCCCCGCAAGCGTCTCGTTCCCCAGAGGCTCCCGAGCAGGGCTCCGAGCCCTGCCCGCCCTGCCGCCGCTGTCCTGCCCAGCGCCCGTGCCTACATGGTGCCCGATTTATCTGCCGAGCTGCTGGGGAAGAGCTTCTCGGTGGGGGTGACGGCCGGGCTGCCCACGCCCGAGCTGCTGCTGCTGCTGGAGCGGTGCTGCACCACGGGCCGCACGGGCCGCATGGGCGGCGGCCGCAGCTGCGCCCCGGCCAGCCGGGCCGACAGCGCCGGCTTGAACGTGGTCATCATCTCGGTGCTGGAGCTGCTGCTGCGCCGCATGGCCGCCTCGGGGTCCCGGATCAGGATGGTGTGCAGGGGGCTGGCCGGCTCCGAGTTGGCGGCGCCCATCGGGGGGTTCTTCATGGGCTCCAGCGTGTCCAGGACCACGTCGGGCGCCTGCTTGGCCGTGTTCTGCCTCTCCAGCTCCCGCAGCTCGTTCAGCGCCGTGCTCATGGTCTTCTCGATGTCCTGGGAATGCCAAAGGCGAGTCAGCGCTGTGCCACGGCTCCAGTGCCGTGCTGCACTGCACCCCGCGATCCTGGCACGCCTGTCTGCACAAGGGGTCTCTGCTCCGAGAGCTCCCAGGGAAAGCAGGAGCTCTCCGAGAAGAACAGGACAAGGTGTGAAGCCCGATCTGGCCGCACAAAGTTGCCCTGTGCTCCCCAGGTCAGCAAGGGCTCGGTCACCAGCTCCAAAGGGCGAGAATCCTGAGCACCAGGAGCCACGGGGTGAACACCAGCCTGCCCACAGGCACTCCCCAGCGAGCTCCCCTTCAGCCTCGCCATCCCTTCCCAGCCCTCTTACCTCAGCAAGAGCTTCTGCTTCCAGGGATTTCTGATCTCCGAGGCTGCTGTGCCGGGTGGAGCCACAGGTGGATCTCAGTGGGTGGCTCTCAGCCAGGGCTTTCCTGTCGGGGAAGTTGATGCTGCCCGCGCTGCCGAACGTCGCCATCCTGCGCTTCTCGGGGCTCTCGATCCTGCCCCTGTTGAGGGGGATCTTGTGGGGGCTGCTGGGGCAGGCTGCTGCCCGAGGAGGGGTGTCCATGCCGGGCCCCAGCCCCCGGGGCGGGCTGTGCGTGTCGCCCCCGCTGCGGCGCCGGGGGATGGCTGCACCATCAGACCTCAGCCTCACCCTGCAAAGAGCCCAGCACGTCAGGGCTGAACTCAGCCCCGAGCTCAGCCCAGACCGAGTTCCAGCCTTCCCGCTTCAGAACACTCCAGAAAAAGGGAAGACAAATATTTTAGCCAGTACCAAGAAAGGGACAGCATCAAATCACGAGAGTAGTTCGGGCTGGAAGGGACCTCAAAGGTCATCTTGTTCCAACCCCATGCCACACTTTCCACTATGCCAGGTGGCTCAGGGCCCATTAGTAGTGCACATGAAATCCCCTCCAAGCTCATGGTACCCTGCAGTGCTTACTAGAGCTTTCCCTCCCATCCTGCCCTTCCCCACACACCAACTGTCCACACCTGCGACAGCCACCACCTCCATGGTGACAGGAACATGAATTACCTGCCCATCACTCCCCCAAAGCCATAGTCCATGATATGATCTGTTGGTGACTGGATGTCGTTCTTGGAGGAGGCTTTATCATCCAGCAGGGGCCCGCTGCTCGCCTCGCTGTCTGCCTTCTGGCTCAGGCTGTCAGAGAATGCATCATCCCTGGGGAAAGGAGACCACACCAGTGACAGGGCAGTGCCCCGGGGAGCCAGGGCCCAGACACCACACCAATCTGAACATCACCACTACAGCAGCTCCACACATTGTTAACAAGGAGCTGGACCAAGGCCACCACTGTGGCAGTGACATCTGCCTGCCCATCCCCCGTGATGTGGCTGCCACTGTGGTGACTCCAGATACAGCACTGGTAAAAGAAGCACCTGCAAAGGGCCCTGGGATCTGCCCCCAGGCCGGGTGAGCACCACACAATCCAGGGCTCACAGCCCCTTACCTCAGTGCTAAGCCTGGCTCACACCATGTTGGGGAGTCAGAGAGAGACAATGAGGGGGCCAGGTACACTGAGGTACAATGTTTAGTACTGGTCTTTATCAGCCCAAATGAGAAACAAATGGAGCCAATACATGGAGAGGGAGAAGTGAACACGCCCAGATTTCTCACCAAAATCATTAAACCTCAGCAAAACGGATTATTTTAGGTGACTGAAGTGGACCTTGTGCAAGTATATGATTTGAACAAGCCTCACTTTACTCACATGTCCTGCACCACGATGTACTGGTGGGGAATGAGCCCGTCCACCCCGTTGTGCCTCCCTTCCCACCAGTCCTCTGATGCCCGATGGTACAGCAGCAGCGAGGCTCCTTTCTTGAAGGAGAGCTCCCGTGGAGATCGTCCAATGTAGTCAAACTTGGCTATGGCTTCGATCTGCTCCACCTCTGCACGGGAGAGCACAGTGAGAGGGCAGCTCCGGGCAGCCCTGCAGGGAGGCTGGAGCCCAGGAGGGAACCCTCTCACCAGAGCAGCAGTGCTGCTGCCACTGCCCAGCGTCCCCAGAGCACCTCACCCTGAGCACAAGCCTTCTTGTCACACTGATCCATGCTTATTGCTGTTCCAGGCTTCCCGAGACCAACCTCAGCCTCACAAACCACTGGCAATTACAAACAGCTACAAAGCAGATGGGGAGCAGCAGGAATCTCCCTCTGTGCATATGGCATCCCCACCCACACTCCATTTTCTGCCTTTGGTTACAGAACCCCATTATCTTCCAGCCTGAGATTTTGTCAAGCCATGGCAGATGCTGTGATCAAACCCCACTTACCTTCTCTTCCCCTTCCTTATCCTGGAGACAGTTTGGCCTGAATTATTGATGAGCAACTAATGTCCCTTTGGGGATCCCCATGGAAATAATGGTATCAGCTCCAGCCAGGCAGCTGCTCTGCACCCTGCCATCTGCAGCACTCTGCCTCACTGTTTCCCCTCTTTTCCTAATGTGAGCTCTACCAAGCACCCATGACTCACAGACTGGGAGCTCAGGGCCTGAAATACAGGAGGGCTGAGGCAGAACTTCACTTTGGGAGGTCACACCAAGGCACCAGCAGGAGCTGCTGGGGCACCCAAGGGCACTGAGGGGCCTGTTAAAGAGTCTGGCTCATAGGCAGATCCGTTTTCAGCTGGAGGACACTGAATCCTGAAGAAACCATTGCAACAACCAGCAGGGAGTGTAAGCAGGGCAAGGGGGAGAGGAAACATGCAAACTCACAAAACACAGCCACTCCTCTGCTCGGCACTTGGCACCACAGTTCATCACTCAGAAACCCCCATCGGAGCCATTACCGTGGCCACCCAAGTGTGAAATTGGCTGCACAGCAGCTCCCTTGGCTCCCTGTGCCAGGCCTGTCAGCTCCTGCCTGGAGCTGAGAGCAGGCCTGGAGCTGCCCAGCCCCATGTGCCCTTCCCTGGCCCCGTGTGCCTTTCCCTGTGCCCTTCCCTGTGCCCGGAGCCACCTGGCCCTGTGTGCCCTTCCCTGGCCCTTCTTCCTCCCATGGCCCCTCTTGCCAGGTGAGCCTTTTCCTGGCAGGGCAATGTGCTGTGCCATGCAGGACACAGCCAGGGCAGCAACTCCCCAGGGCCCCTCCAACGCAGTGAGCCCTGCCTTGGTTCCCTGCCGTGGGTCCCTGCCCCACAGCCGTTCCAGCAGCATTTCCCAAACTCCCCCCTCGTGCTGCTGGCATGTGGGGAGCACAGTGCTGCCTCCTGCTCCAGCCCAGCCCTGCCATGCTCTGTCCCGCAGCAGTTTGTGCTGTGCTGCATGTACAGCCCTGCTGGCCCAGCCCAGCCCTGCTGGCCCAGCCCAGCCCTGCTGGCCCAGCCCAGCCCCTCTCACCATCATCACTGGTGTGTGGCTCTGTCCCGTTGTCGTGATCCACCTCATCGATGGTG